CTGATTTCCCTTTCTCTTTGCGGCACATTTCCCTCCTTTGTAATATTACTCGGACAGTCGCGTGTAATTAAAGAGAGAGAGAGAGAGAGAGAGAGAGGGACCAATTCTACGTTAAAAAGAAATCGCTAAAACGCCCGGACGAAGTTTCGCGTTGCGCAAGCACCTATTACTTTTAATTGTAACAATTTTTTCCATTAGTCGCCATTTATAAAGGATTCAATTACCTTGACACAAATTGGAAAAGTGGACTTTAATTGAATTTGATTAAATAAAATACCGCGGGGCTTCATTAACTTTAAATATATACGAAAAAACAGCACGCCGCGCGCAGGCTCATCGTAAGGCAAAAACCTCGATTGTCTTCTCGCTGATGATATACTCGCGCGGAGGGTCTTCCCGTCTCTCTCCGTCTCCGGAATAATCGATTTACTTGGACAGAAAGCCTCACATTTAATTCGAGGTTATTTTACCTTTACGAGCGCAAAGGAGAATTCATAAAGCCAATAAAACTTTTGTCGTGGAGGAATCCTCCTCCGTAAGTGGTACCGTCGCAAAGTTTGTCGAGCGTAAGGAAATCTCGGTCGCGCGAAATCAATGCCTGTTTGCGAACTCGCCCGATAGAGAGAGACAGAGAGAGAGAGAGAGAGAGAGAGAGAGAGAGAGAGAGAGAGAGAGAGAGAGAGAGAGAGAGGAGAGAAGAAAAAAAAAAAAAAAAAAAAAAGAGGAGGAGATAGAGCAAGGGAGGGAGCGAGCAAGAGAGTGAAGAGGGTAATGCATCCTCTATCAGCGAATATCTTCGACTTTCCGACTACGTAGGAAATTGAATTACGCAAAATTGCTCGCGCTGTGCGTTTCGCGTGACGGGATCATTCGTGAGATCAATATCGGTCCTCTTACATCGTGCTACTACGACGATAACGATCGCATCAGCAGGATCTGCCGGCCTGTGTCTGCCCTGTTATTTCTGTCTTAATCTCCTGCCTTCCATTTAGCGAGATCGTTCACTAACTTTCAAAGACGCGTGCTTATCCGTCTCGAGATTGCACACGCTGTACACAGCCTCGCCACAAGAGCCGGTGTCATTAACGCGATGGTCCCTGTCGGAGCTGATATTACTTGTGTTGCATTAAAGCGTCACCGCTTATACCCGTTGCACACACATACGCGTATGTTTGTTATGTAACTCGCACATACTACGGGACTTTGTTGAGCAAACAAAGTACAGCAAGCCGCGAAAGTTCCGTTTCGGTGGATTTGCGCGGACAGCTGCTCATTCTCCGCTAATTAATTAACTTTATCGACTTAAGGAGTTTATAATTACCAACAACCACTTTCTTTTTCTCTTCTACCTCTCCCTCTCTCTCTCTCTTCCTCTCCCAGAAGTCGTCTAAATTATTCCCCGGGCTTCCTGCGCGCAATTACACAAGTTTACGAGAGCTATTCTCACGGATTCCCTCTACGATCAATCGCCGCGTGGAATCAATACGATATGAGCGACATTGATTCACCTAATATCATCGCTCAATCTATCTAAATAATGCGCGCGCCTGAACCCACCGGAAGCGCTCGCGCTAACGCTCGCGCACTCTCGGCGAGCATATTTTACCACCTAATATCTGGCCCGAGAAGCCCATCTATATTAATCTTTAGAAGCTCCGTTGACGTAGCGGCGCCGTAAACCGGTAGCGCGCTAACCAGTTAACGTTAACTTGTAAATTAATAGCGGATCCTCCAGCAGTCTTTAACCGATATACCGGGCTCCGCCGTTCACCGGCGGGAAATACAAACAGTAGCTATGTCCTCTTACCCTCTCTCTCTCTCTCTCTCTCTCTCTCTCTCTCTCTCTTTTTCCCCCTCTGCCTCTGTATCTGCGATGAGGGTGGCCAAAGGGAGATAGGCAATTGTATTATTCAGCACTTATACCAACTCACACGGCCAAGGCAGCGAACACGAAGGCAAATATAGCCGACCGGGGTCGGCGAGAACGCCGTTACTACTACTTGGAAACCGGCGCGCCGCCTGGAATATCAGCATCGAGTTCCTCGATCGTCCTCTGCACCCCCTGGGACGAGAGCCGAGCTCGACATTATAACCGCGCCTTGATGCTCGTGTAATTTCATTTCGCGCCAGGCAATCTATCGGTTCTAGAAAGTCTCCTCTTCCGGAGATCCTTTCGGCTCGCGCGAGCGCGCGCATGCATAATCGCTACGCGCGTAATCGCGCGACATTAAGGAGGTACTTTTTATCCTGCGGCTGCTGCTCAGGGCGTGTTCGGAGAAGCAAGGCGCCGTTAAGATCGCCGCGACCGGGCACAAAGTCGTAGCGCGCTAATTTGCCCCGCTCTGAGACGATTTACATATCGCGGAAAATCCGCCAGAGCCCGCGGCGATTTAATGCGGCAATGAATACTGATTGAATATTGATATCCGTTAACGGCGCAAACTCGGCCGACATTAATAGAATATCGCCGGTGCACCGCTCGGTGCAGCTCGGGCTCGCGCATTATTCAGAATGCGCGTATAATGCGCGTCAATGTAGCGCACAGCGCTGCGCACACACGGTTGACGCCGTCGACACACTCGGCTCGGCCCGCGCGACCCGCGACACGGAAATGAATATTTAGACGACGTCGACGGGCGCGGGGCGGCGGCTAATAGAATTTTTTCTCGCGTAAGCGCATTACCTTCGACTCGATCCCGGCCCGTGTATCCTCTCGCCATAAATCCAGGAATCCAATCGCGAGTTTTACAGGCCGTTGTGGCCCTACGCGCATAATAAAAAGCGCCGACAGATGAGGGCTCGCGGTGTGATACGTGCCGCTGGTGTGGAATTGAGGATGGGGGATTTATGCCAGGTGGATCTTGTTTTACAATCGTCGTGAGCGAGCGTGAGAGATAGGAAAACAGCGAGTAACCGCGGGCACTCGCCCTCCGCCGAAGGCGGATCCTCCACGTCTCTCACGCGCATTCGACCCGGCAGAAAAAAGTGTGTCATTAGATATTTCTTGTGTACACTCGCTGCTGCTGCCGAGTGTAAGTTTCCGCAAGTATGTCCCTCGCGATGATAACAGGGCAGCATATAATAACGCAAGAATTCTTACGTCGCTTGTTTCGTGTGTACGTTGCATTGTCGATGCTGAATGGAGAGTTGTCTCCACGGTTGTCTTTCCTGTAAGCCGGCGTGATTATGTTTTTTGTCTAAAGATACCAGCCAGCGTCTGGCTGGTATCTTTAATAACAGTCTACAAATAACATTGTAATAATATTGTTATGTCGGCGCGAGCCGAGGTAGAAGTTTATATCCACGGATTCACGTACGAGAAAAAACGCTCGCGTTTCTTTAGACACGCGAAATAAGATTCTCTTGAGATTGGCCGGCGGCGGCGGCGGCGGCGGCGGCGACGGTGAGCAAACATTTCTTCGCGACAAGTCGAGTGTGTTCGTCAAAGCGTGGAGATTTATGCGCGACGGCGACATCAAATAAAACGCAATTGCCCGACGGGGTGGGTCGTGCTTGCCGATATTCGAGCGCGCGATAAAAACGCGCTCGTAATGGATCGTTACGCGATAGCGCTTCTAGTTACTCATTTTCCGCCACGTCTCGGCCGGAAACTCCGGCCGACGTGGCGCGAAGGACGAACGGTGAGAAAACGGCGGCGTTATTTCAAATCCTGCGAGAGAGAGCCCGCCGTGACGAGCCGAAAACACTCTTTGTCCTCATTCAGTGACGCTCCATCGATTGATCCACCTGTTCCGATAGTTTCGATAGTTTCCACCTTGCTCATATTGATTGCTCTCTCCTTACGTCGATCCTCTCTCCCTCGAACATCCCTTGCGAGTGGCAGCGAGAAAAGAAAACATGTGCGCCCTTACCTTCTCGCGCGGGCGCGCAAGTACACACACACACACACATATACATGCACACATGGATCCGCCTACCCCTCGCGGCGACTGCTCGCTCGATAGGGGGTGCCACCCCTCCACCTACTCGCGCTCTCACCCTCTCCTTTATTTTCCATCCTTTCCGCCTGGCCAGCGTCCGGCCATCTCTCCCCTACGCTTCTATTTCCTGCCGTCCGTCATCTTCGCCACCCTCCGACGTCCATATCTTTTCCCACCCCCAACCCCTTCATCCCGTTCGCACCTGGACTCGCTCAGGGCTGTCATAGACCGCTCTTTCCGTTACACGCGCTCGCAGCTCGTTTCTCTGTTCTTCCCCTCATCTCCTACCACGATGCCCGGCTCTCTCGTTTCCCTGCGCGCGTGGATCTACCCTCTCCTGCTCTCGCGTGTCCTCAGTCTCACTCTCTTCTGCGTCCACCCCCACTCGCACCCTGGCATCCCTTCTCTGTGCACGATCTCCGCCCTCTCGCTCTCCGTGGAAGCTCTGCTCTCTCTCTCTCTCTCTCTCTCTCTCTCTCTCTCTCTCTCTCTCTCTCTCTCTCTCTCTCTCTCTCTCTATGCGTGTTGATCCCCCCTGGAATTCTTGCCTCGCATTCATCCCTTCTGCTTCCCCGCGGCCTGGCAGCGTCGCTACTCCGCTCGTTTGATCCTACGATGACTCTTTTACTTTGATCCACTTCGCGTCTCTCCCTCCCTCGTGTACGTTCTCCGTCTCTGTCGATACTCCACCGACATGCTTCCTCCTCATCTTCTTCCAACTTCTCCCCCTTCCTTCACACGTTTCTCTCTTCCCACGCGCTGGTGTCATCGTCTCTTCCTGGCGTGAGGAACATCCTCCCCCTGGCTGCCTCAGCGGAGCTTTGCAAAATCCGCTGCTTTCGCCTTTATTCGTCCTCCATAAACTCGTAAACCTACACCCTCGCGGATCCACGCACATTTCCTCCCTCTGGCGCTCGTCGGCTCCGCCACCCCTTCACGCACTTTCCCCAGCATCCGCGACCCTCCTCCGCGCTGTAATCTCCCTCCCCGGGCCGCTTCTCTCCTCCGTTGCTCCCTTCTGCCGGCCAATAATCTTCTCTCTCTCCCCGACCGAGCTCCCTCCACCGGCACTCTTAGCGTCCCTGTCTCGCGGTTTCTCTATCACACCCCATGGCAGTCTCTCGCCAGCCACCCCTATCTACGTGGTCCGCCGCTCCGGGCGCCGTCGCCGTGGAAGTGACGCTTTGCGCGGCATCGCCGGGGCGCTCAGTCGGCACCGCGTCCCACCCGCGTCCGCCTCGCTGTGGACGATCGAGCCGTCGTCGCGCCATCAGTACGGCCGGAACATCGCCGACTTGGCTACCTCGTGGCGCGCTGTGACCCCCTGCCGCCCCTGCTTCGGCCCGGAGGATCGCGCAGAGCAAGTCGGCCCGGAGGAGTCAGCCCGGAGGAGCCGCGGAGGCTCTCGAATTGGCGGCCGCCGTCAACTAGCCCGCCAAGCCACCTGGACGCCTCGCCGTCCCGCGCTTGGGAAACCGAAACGGTTCGTTCGTTCGTTCGTTCGTTCGTTCGTTCGTTCGTTCGTTCGTTCGTTACTCCCACTTCGACCTACCCCCTGCGTAGAGAAGGCCGGATGACATGTGGGGACATATATATATATATATACACACGCACGCAGTCGGCCGGACCTCGCGATCGATCCACACTCAGGTCGCTCGATTGCGCGCTCCAGGACTCGCTGGATCACGTTGGAAGACACCGGGCTCGGTAATTGGGTCGGCGTCATTAGTCTCGGCTGAACTTTCAGTCGCGCGCTACGCTCGCCACGGAATCCCAGGAATCCCTAGGTCACGCCGGGTCATCCGAAGCGCCGACGTCGGGCTCGGAAAATAGCCGGCTTAACGGATTACTCCCCTTTCTCGCGCTTAAAGGGCGCTCTCGAGACGAGGTCGGCTACCGCCGCCGGTGGATTCTCCTCCGCGAAGTCGTCGAGTCGGGTAAACGAGTCGAGGGTAATACGTCGGGTAAGAACCCATGCGAGTCGCGTTCTCGCGACTCGCATGGCGCACAGTTCGCCAAATAGTCGATCGTCGTCGCGGCTCTTCGCCAAATTGGCCCCGCCAAATTGCATCCCTTGGCCGCGACCAAGCCAGCCACCGCGCGGCGAATCGGGACGCAGCTCACGAACGATAATTCAAACATCCCCCCGAGGGAGCCGCGAAGAAGATCAAATGCTTATAGGGAGCTCATGCGGCTGCTTTGCTTCGCACCCCACCGCGCCTGCATCCCCGATATATTCCCGATACGCCGGGGATTACTCGGCGGGGCTTGAGTCTCATAACCGCGTTGTAATTTCAACGGCGATCGCGCGAGCGATGCGCCAAATTAATTCCGCTAACTCAACCGGAACACACACACACACACACACACACACACACACAGTGATTCGGAATTCTGCGTGTCTCACGTTGTGTTGATACGCGCGTGCACTACAGAGTGATAAATCGTCGTGCCTCCGAGTAGACGGCGGTCTACGTGTTTCACTCTGAATGATACATATATTATACATTGGCCGTCCACGACCGGGCACGTAGTGTTTTGACGCGCCGACGAACCCGCCGGTCGTCCTGTGGCTCGCCAAGTATCTGTTTGATAAGCGGGGCTTACGTCGGACTGACTGACTGAAACGACCAGATATAGATCAGCTCGGCCGCGATCCGGACCGGATTCGCTCATGTATGTGTGTGCGCGCGCGCGCATCCTCCCGTGCTCACGTCGCCCTAGGCATTCTCTCTTCTCTGGAGCGTACTTTGTGTTTAACGTACACAGCAGCTCTTCGAATAAAGTGAATCGCGGGAGCACACAAGCGAGGAAGACGGAACCCGCGGCGAGAGCCGCGTCCGCCTTTTCGAATACGTCCGCGCTCGCGATCGCGTTAGAGTGCGCCGAGAGTGTTCGAGCCCGCTCCATTCGGCCGTTCGCTCGCGGGCCAGCAGGAACGCGAATTAATATTTCGGTCCCGGCGAATGAAACTTCATTACGTACGCTGCGCGCCGCGGCAGCGTGCTCTGCTCGTCGTTTGAAGAAGCCGCAGAATTTACTTCAGCTAGCGCCGTCTCGCCGCTTTTCCGCCGGGATGTAAGATTCCCGGGCCAGCCGCGAGCATTTGCGAGCGCGAGCGATTGTAAAATGTCCGAAATGCCATGTATTATGAAAATCACTAAGGTACAAAAGAGACCCTCGCTAATGCGAGAGTAGTCGTGCAGCGCATATGAAAAAGGTCATCCGTAGGACGAGGCCGAGACCGCCATTTTCCACGAGGAGAAGACTCCACTGTTTATGGTCCGAGGGAGAGGCGAGCCTGCCGCGCGATGCGGCATACAAACGACAAATAAAGTGAAAGCCATAAAATTATAACATCATATCTATATTCAATGACAGGACGTTACCCGACTTATGGACCCATCTTAATGAGCGAGCTTCATTTTCAAACTTCTCCATCGAAGATTACAGTGACGCACGTATACATCAGCAACGTCGTGTCCGTGATGAATGGCAGTCCCGCCCTTGTCAGCCTGAATGCCTCGTATATCATAATTCACAATTGATCCTCGCATTATACCCGGGAGGACTGGCGGAGGGCGCCGGCGATTCGCAAAAATGTCGTGTTTCGCGCCCGAGACAGCACTCCCGTATCGATCGCAAGCGATCGTTACCTCGACAAACGACAGTGGGATTTAATTTACGGATGCCCCCCCCCCCTTTATATTTCTACCTTCCTCCCTCCCCTCGCGGCAATCAGTAAAGGGGCACGTGCTGCGAGGCGTGCAAGGACGAGAAAGCGCGAATGACGCTTGCTGTTTTTCATCGCCGAACCGCCCGCCCGGCCGAGGCGCGTGGTAATACACCATTGTGATGTATGCGCGGGTCTCCGCGTCTGGCCGGGAACGACGCGATCTACTTGGCGCACGATTGCCGGCCTCTCGCCCGACCAAGCAGTGGGACGATCTACTTGGCGCGGCTGCGCTCCATTCTTCATCCGATCGAGATGGATCGATCTATTTGGCACGGCCTTGACTCTCTCAGCTACCGCATTCGCTGACACTGGCGAGGTTAAAATAGAGAAGAGAGAGAGAGAGAGAGAGAGAGAGAGAGAGAATATTTGAGAAATGTAGTTAACGCAATTTTGGCTCCGCTTCGCGTTATCCTTCGTGTTTGAAAGGGGATAAGAGAGAAGGGGGAAGGGGGGACGGAAGCGCCAATTTCCTCATTATCTTGCGAACGTGTCGCATACGCTCGTTCGGTAACCAAACATGCCGGCGATGTGCCTGCTGTCTGCCTTTTGGCAGGACGCAGACGTTTGGCAGAAGAGATAGACCACAAACATACCTTCTGGCAGAGTTCACGGCGAATCGGACAGATCGCACTGCGGAAATTCGAGGGAGAAATGAGGGATTGACAATCGCGATCACGCAATCAACTCTCACCGGAATCCCGAGAGTCGCGCGGTCACTTTATCCTCGAAATTCGCGATCGCCCGATTGAACGTCATTGTTCCGTGAGACCAATCGTGGGACGTCGTCGAGCAGCTGGAGGTCGTCGTGATCACAATTTTGCGTATTCCCGCGTGGTCGCTTAGTTCGCCGAAATTTCACAATCGATCGATTAAACACCGTTGTTTAGCGAGAGACCAATTAGACCGGGGGGTGGGTGGAGGGGGGGCATGTTAGAGAGGCCGTCGTAATCATTATTTCACGTAATTCCAGCCGAAGTCCCGAACACAATCGCGGTCGCGTCGAAATTCCCAGTCGATCGATTAAAACGCCGTTGTTTCACGGGACCAATTACAGGACATGGACAGGCGGCGGGCAAGACCACGACGATATAAAGCAGGACGAGCAGGACTAAGGTCGGGACGCGTTTAGGGGTCGTCGAAAAATCGCCGACGCATTCGGAGAATGCCAGGGGCTGCTTAACGAGGATGTACAACACGAGTAACGGTGGACGATGAGCGGACGGACAGGGAGCTCGAGGTTAATCGTGTTTCCGGCGAATTTCCGACTCGGTTGATCGACTCGTCGGCGTCGGGCAGCGATCGTCGGGAAGCCTGTAATTTGAGGGTGTAACGAAGCCTATATACGCGACGCCGCGCCGCGTAGACGCGATCTGGAGCTCGCGGAGAGACAGAGAGAGAGAGAGAGAGAGAGAGAGAGAGAGAGAGAGAGAGAGAGAGAGAGAGAAAGAGAGAGAGAAGGAGAGAAAGAGAGAGAGAGAGAGAGAGAGAGAGAGAGAGAGAGAGAGAAGGAGAGAGAAAGAGGGAGGGAAGAAGGGGGGGGAGAGAGAGAGAGAGAGAGAGAGAGAGACGGACAACGCCTGGTTTCTGAATTTCCATCGATCCGAAATCCAGGAGCTCGGCCTTAGCTGACAGCCGAGGCGCTGTGTTGTATTTTTAGCCCTACGTTGGCCCGATATAGTTTATCGTTCCCCGGTAAGCCCTTAAAAATAAACGAACCCGTATCGCGCGAAAAAGTAAGCGGGTTAAAGGTCAACAGGGCGTGGCTGTGTCATGTGAGTAGAGGACGAGAGTGATCACCCGCGAAACGCGCGCATGCGATATTTCCGGTAGACTCGTTGACTGATTATCTCATCGTGTGTCCCGAGTTTTCCCATTGTCTCGGATGATTATTCACCCATCTTCCCTCTCCCCCTGCTCCTGCCCCGCCCCCAAGTCCAGGGCACGTGCGACTAACGTTTCGCGTGCATTCGCGCTCGCCCGCTGCTTTTCAAGCGAACGCCCCTCGCGCGTATTACAGCGTCTCGTTTCATTTGCGGGAAATTGCTACGCCTTCGGATATAATTTTTACGCGCGAGAGCGCTGATATCTCGGAGTTTGATAATTAATTTTCGCACAAGTGGATTATTTACTCGCACGCTCGTGCGAGCGTGACAGAGAGAGAGAGAGAGAGAGAGAGAGAGAGAGAGAGGGAGAGAGAGAGAGAGGGAGAGAGAGAGAGAGAGAGAGAGAGAGAGAGAGAGAGAGAGAGAGAGAGAGAGAGAGAGAGAGAGAGAGAGAGAGAGAGAGAGAGAGAGAGAGAAAGAGTGCGAACGAGCGAACAAGCGCGAGCGCGTACGGCAGAGAATTAATATCGGTCTTTAACTTTATTACCAACTTTCGTGCCGTGTGAAAGGATCGTACTTTGTGGCGACTCTCGACCAACTTCGCGACACAATCGCGCCGCAGCTCTGCGCGCTTTTTGCTTTAATTGCAATATCGCATTTACACGGCGCGCCTACAATCTGTCGCCGGTGACCGCTGCGTCGCGAGAGGCAATCATTCGCTCCCTCGCGCCAAGAAGAAAATCCTGCTCGAATGAAGAGCACGACGCATCTCAGAATCGAGAAGAGTGGCGCCGAAGAGAATCGTTGACAGCGCGCGTAATCGCGCTCGTTATTTGCTCGAAATCGCGCGGCGTTATCCGCAAGAGATTCGCATTAAAGTTTGCCGCCTAACTTTGACTTATCTCCCTCGCCCACGCGAGATTC